GAAGAAAGTTTGAAACTCAGGGTACCACTGTAGTTATGTAGAGAATTTCAGACAAACTTGAACATAACTTAAGACTACAGTGGCAATAGTTATTATTTGATTGTAAACAAACAAACTGTATTTCTGTCTGCGGTTGACAAAATGTAGTTTACATGTAATACAATATTGTTAAGTACAGAGAAAGCCGCTAACGTACTGAGCATTCCAAGCTGACTAATACAAATATTTATACGCTACTGCAACACTTTATGGCCCTGGTGGATTTAGTGCTTGATTATAACAATAATAATACAGTGGACCCTCGAATTTAATAGTGCCATTTCTGGATGCAAAACTATTTTTATTATCTATAAAATGTATTGTTTGTTAATATTTTTGGGTGTCTGGAATGGTTTAATTGGATTTACCTTATTTCCTATGGGAAATATTAACAAAACATACATTTTATAGATAATAAAAATAGTTTTGCATACAGAAAAGGCACGACTAAATTCGAGGGTCCACTGTAATTACAAACTACTTACGACTAGACATAGGCTATTGGCTAGTACAAGTAGTATGTATTATTACAGAAAATTAGAGTAATGAAAATAGTTCAGTTTTAAGTATTCATTAATGCTTTAGATTCAGTGATCTTAAGTTAATTGGGATTTCTTAAATAGTCAAAGACAAGGGAATCCTGGGAGGGATGGAGGGACGAAGGGATGGAGGACAGGGGAATGGAGGGAGGGTTAGGTTACACATCAGTAAACAGATGTGTAATTAGATCATATCACTTGCATATACAGTGGACCCCCGCTTAACGATCACCTCCCAATGTGACCAATTATGTAAGTGTATTTATGTAAGTGCATTTGTACGTGTATGTTTGGGGGTCTGAAATGGACTGATCTACTTCACAATATTCCTTATGGGAACAAATTCGGTCAGTACTGGCACCTGAACATACTTCTGGAATGAAAAAATATCGTTAACCGGGGGTCCACTGTATTTTATTGTGCATCAGTGATTTAAGCAATAGCATTGCAACACTGCAGTCATGAGTATCATTTGTATATCTAGCAGTTGCAGTCCTGGAATGCAGCAGTGATCTGTGATATCCAAGGTCTACTACATGTCACTTTCCCTCCCAGCATGTCATGTTTTTTCTTCATCTCACACATGTCTGCACATGTATGCACAGGTACACACATGCATGCCCACACATACGTCTCCTTGGAGAGACGTAAATGTTTGGACTCAAGAGTAAGATAAACACTGCTATACCTTGAGTCCGTACAGCAATTATTATGGCTCACCCAGTGAGTGTTTTTGAAGATGTTAATTACTGTCCCAGTCGTCTGTGGTTTGACATTTACACAGTGTAACTGCACATACATACCCCTTAACATAAGCACCCAGGTTGCAAGTGCTGGAAAACAAGTGGTAGTTGAGTTTCATAAGAGTCTGCTAGCAAAAAAGTTAAAGCTGACACTTGTACGAAAGTGTTCATTGGTGGTACAGCTGAACTGTATTATAAGACAGCACCAGATGGAACCTTTGTAGCTTTTGATAAGAATTGTATATTTTTAATCTGGAAAACAGTGTTATTTTATGACAATTCAACTGGAGATGTTATGTAGATAAATGGCTCAGAGAACCGACAAGACGATGACTTAGACACTTGTTCAACATTTGTTCAACCCTTGGGTATGTTTATTGTGGAAAGATTTTTACCAACCAATGGCTTCCTTAGTCCAATACAGAGAAGAAGGGTTGAAGATCAGGAGGAGTTTGAGGTAGTCGTTCCCTCTCCCTGGAGTCGATGTGATCAATCCACCAATCTGTCTACAGAAAATAAACCCTTTTGTGCATATGCTGTACTCTTATCAGGATTGATGGACTGATCACATAGACTCCAGGCTGAGGGACTGATTACTTCAAACTCCTTGTACTCTTTGATGATTCTTCTCTGTACTGGACTGAGGAAGCCGCTGTTTAGCAAAACATTTCCACAGTAATGATACCCAAGTGATGTACAAGTAGAGATATTATGCCAGATTTTTCTGAGTATGTGAGGTCAACTTACCAGGGTATGGGAGGTCAACTTACCAGGGTATGGGAGGTCAACTTGCCAGGGTATGGGAGGTCAACTTGCCAGGGTATGGGAGGTCAACTTGCCAGGGTATGGGAGGTCAACTTGCCAGGGTATGGGAGTCAACTTACTAGGGTATGGGATGTCAATCTACCAGGGTATGGGAGGTCAACTTTCCAGGGTATAGGAGGTCAACTTACCAGGGTATAGGAGGTCAACTTACCAGGGTATGGGAGGTCAACTTACCAGGGTATGGGAGGTCATCTTTCCAGGGTATGGGAGGTCAACTTAACAGGGTATAGGAGGTAAACTTACCAGGGTATGGGAGGTCAACTTATCAGGGTATGAGAGGTCAACTTACCAGGATATGGGAGGTCAACTTACCAGGGCATGGGAGGTCAACTTACCAGGATATGGGAGGTCAACTTACCAGGGTATGGGAGGTCAACTTTCCAGGGTATGGGAGGTCAACTTTCCAGGGTATGGAAGGTCAACTTTCCAGGCTATGGGAGGCCAACTTACCAGGGTGTGGGATGTCAACTTA